TACCATGGCAACGTTATCCCACGTAGATGATTGAACGTAATTGTACAGTTTGAGATGAATTATTGCTGATTATAATTATAATATTTTCCTTTTCCTTTCCTTTCGTTTTAATTCCGTTTGCTTTTCTTCTTGATTCAGCAAATAAAGGTTCTTCAGTATTTTTCGCCAGGAATTTTCCGTCTTCTTCCATAGTTTCTTCTCCTCTTGTCTTTGTTTCTTGTCCTCATATTTCATTTCCTAACTTCTTTTTCTTGATCACCCTTCAGAAGCTTCCTTGCTTAGTTTAGCACCCTGGCCTAATGTTTTTTTCCCTGAAATAAATAAACAAAGGACTTAAAAGTTAATCAGTACACAAACAATATCACTAAATATACAACAASCCACATACAATTCCATGGCAATTAACTGAAAGCATGTTTCATAAAAATGTCACAAAATGACGCCTAAAATAACATATGCTTGTCGCCAACGAAATCAGTAGGGTTTGTCTTTCGCATTCCCAAGATCAGGACTACACACGAAACCAGCCAGAAACTGAGTTAATCGAAGGAGAAAGTCGACAGAAAATAGCAGCATTTGAGGTAAAACATATTATAAGAGATGATTATCAACTAGGAACATATGCCAAACAAAAACACTTGAGTTAAGAATCGTTCTCTTTTTCTGTACTTTTTTTTACTAGCTTTACACGCATTCTTGCAATTTCCCTTCCAAACATATATTGTCCAAGCGTCTGACCTGCCTCCTTTTACACCAACCGCATTACTGCCATTAGATCTAAAACGGGTCTCAATCACCTCCGCAGTCTATAGACGTCATGACTATCCKAATTTCTGTTATAAGAGAAAGCTACCTATGGAGTATTTGTCCTACGATTAATATTCTATGTATTCGAGTTTATTAATGCAAAACCCAAAGAAAACTAGTGACAAGSTTTCTTTTTTTATAATTCGTTTTCAAAAGCCTGCAAGAKCGCATGTKGAWTATTCTGAATTAATTGCACACGTTTTAGCCAATCAGATGTCAGTAATTACTAACAACTTAAAAATGCATAAAATATAGGATAATAGGAGTCAAACCCTGATCTCTTGATTTCATTACAGTATAGAGATATATAAAGGTTAATTTTCTCGGTTGAAATAAAAGATGACAAACAACAGCAACATCAGTTTGATTGAGATGATATTTGCTAAGCTCAGTAGCAGCAGAGCTGGTTGCTTAGGGACGATTGCCAATAAAAACAACAACAGCAACAAAAAGACTGCAAAGACTACTTTCTATCATGACTAACGACAATAAAATCGGTTTATCATACTGTTAGGGGGAGTCGAAAAAGGACTATGTTAACTCTACAGCACAGTCTCTTTCTGCTGGTTATTGTCACAGGTTGTCTTCTAACAGTATCATCAAAAGGTAAAAGATAGCTAAAAAAATTACTCAATAAACAAACAGATAGACATACAGGTTTATCATATTTATTTTCTTCAAGCCCAAAAAAGGTATGGTAAGATTGGAGTCACACTGGAAAAAATCGCGCGCTTTAAGTTGTAAATTTGTTGTAAATATGATGTAAGTGTCCAAAATTCTGTAAATTTGATGTAAATGATTTCCATTAAATTAACAGAATTTTGGACATTTACACCATATTTACAAAAATTTACAATCTTTAATGCGCGCGATTTTTTCCAGTGTCATTACAAGCACACGTCCCATATATGAAAACAGCTTTTTCACTACGTCCTGACCAATYCAATGCAATCTTGAATGTCCTTCTGTAAAGTTAGCAATCACTTGTATGTTCTTGTCTATGGATTTAGATTCCCATCGAATGATAATCATTGAGGACGAAGAAGATGATACCAGGAACTTGGTTGATGCAGCTAAACGTGGTTCAAATGTTACATCGCAAGGTATGGTGCAYGATATGGTTCCTCTTAAAGTMTCATAGACKATGTTTTACGTGCAGAGAACGTGCTTTTTCTCATACAYTGTATAGAGTACTGAGTCATCAATCAATTATTGGCTCGATGAAAATTAAAAGCATMAATAACGAGAATTGATTTTGCCATAGAAACAACCGAGTGCTAAGTTACATTGARGAATAACATTTATGTCATTATAATTCCTCTTATCTATGCCAAATTAATCAACGAAATATATGTAGAAAGAGAAGAAAACTCCTGAATTAAACAATTAAACAATAATAAAACAATTACAATAAAATATTAAACAATTATTAGGTATTAATTTATTAATTAATTAATTATAATAATTAATTCATAATTATAATATAATTATAATTATTTTATATTTAACTATATTATATTAATACTTATAATTATAATTATCAATTAATTATATTATTAATTATTATATTATTTTAAAGCTCCTAACTACTCACCAGTCTTTTGAATGTATAAATATTTTTTCTTCCTCAGTTATTCATGTTAAAGGACTCGGATGCTTCAGTTGTAACACAAAACCCCCTTCGTTCCCATTCATCTTCCTCGACTACAGGCGCCAAGTCAATTGGATGAAATGGCCTGATATGAGTGACGTCATCAAAGCTTGCGCACGCGCAGCTAAGAGCAAAGGCTATAAATACTTTGCAATACAACGTTTTGGAGAGTGTCGATGGGGATCTCAAAGCYTAAGTTTGTATAACCAAGATGGTCGTTCTAAAGACTGTTATGGTGGTATTGGAGGCTCGGACGCCTACAATGTTTACACTCTGGAGAAATTTGGTAAATCTGCCCAAAGTGATTTTTACTTAATAATATAAATACAAAAATATATGAATTTGAGGACCGCATGGTATAGAAATGAAAGAAAGTTATAATGCTTAGAAGGAGGCAATTCCGATGAGGTCCTCATATTCATATCTTTACATTATTCTATTACCGCAACCTAACATCTATTTCACCCCGGCCTGCTCCCAGTCTGGCCTTTTAGCTCAGCTGGTAGAGCATCGGTAGTACAAATCCGAAGGCCGTGGGTTCAAATCCCAGCGAGGTCGGAAATTATTTTTCCAATTTATTCCTAAGGGTCTTTCTCTCGGAATTGCTTTCTTCTAAGCACTATAACTTTCTTTCATTTCCATATCGTAAATACAAAAAGATTATGTGGACACAATTATCCATAGTTATGAACAAACTGCTAGTTCCCTGCGAGCAGAGGATTTTTCCATCAAATCCGGATCCTCGCAGGGTAAACTGCTAGTTATACTGTTAAGAATCTTAAAGGTTGATGCTAGCATCATTGCCGCTACTGTAACTCCCACAATCATGTGAGGGGCAAGTTTATAACTGAAAATTGATATCATGCCCGCATTTCACGGGCAAACTGTATGCCATCATAGCATAGCGATCCACCTAATATTGTTGTTCTTGTTGAATAGATAAAGCTTATACTAATTGGAGCAAGTGGAGCAAGTGTTCGGTTACATGTGGCAAGGGGAAGCAGATWCGAAGACGACTATGCATGTTGACACCCAAAACTAAATGTAAACTGATCACAGTACAGAAGCTTACCTGCGTCAAGCCAGATTGTTCAGGTGAAAATGTAGCTGTAYAATAATATATAATAATATTATTTTTCTGGATTCACGAGCGTACGTAAATACTACCAGCACAACCGAATTAGACCCCAACCCCCAACCTYCTCTTCCCAAAAAAAGGAGAAAGAGAAAAAAGGTATATTTACTCCAAATGTTCAAATGTTCCCCTTAATGTTCGGTTTTAATTGTAATTTACTACTAAGAGAGTTCGTTTCATTCCTCCTTGAAAATATATATAGATCCTTACACCAAATGGGGGTCCTGGTCGTCGTGTACCAGGTCGTGTGGTTCGGGTCGACGGTATAGGATCCGTGGCTGTAAGAACTGGCGTGACTATCGATGTTGGGCGATATGGGRCAGCCAAACKTGTAACACAAAACCCTGCCCTCGTGAGTATATTCTACAAGATATCCATATTTTAACGCTTTTTTTGTTAAAACGAATACAAGACTGTACTATTTGGAGAAAAGAAGATATAATATGTTCATATCATTTTATAAAATTTACAGATGGAGCTGTAAATGGAGGTTGGTCTACATGGGCCTCATGGTCAAAATGTTCGATAACATGTGGGAGAAAAGGTAGAAAATATCGCGATCGAACATGCACAAACCCAAAACCATCCAAAGGTGGAGCTTTATGCAACGGTGGAGTAAGACAACGTCAAATTCGCAAATGTGGAATGTACAAATGTCCAGGTARMTGAGTGACTTCTGTCAGAGTAAAAACAAAATCATCCTCGTGCAGTTTCCAACCATCTTATTACCAAAATGCATGGAAATTACTGAAAAAATATAYATAAAAGTGAAGAAACTCACAAAACCATAGCAATGTTTGAGTCTATCATTGATCTTCATTAGTGTTTTTTCCTTAATTTGTGCTTACCTAAATGCAACAAAAAATTATCATCGAAAAATGGAATATACTGTTTTGATATACTGATGATGACACTGAATACAAGAACACGTATGTTATTATACTTGCAAATGTTTTATTCCTAACAAACAAATATAAAAAAAATTGTTTGATATCTACATAATAGTAATTAATGGCGAATGGTCGCGGTGGGGACCTTGGGGAAAGTGTTCAGCGTCATGTGGAGGAGGCAAAAGGTCACGAGTTAGAGTCTGCAATAATCCTAAACCTGCAAACGGAGGACGGAAGTGTGAAGG